GGCAGTTTTACACAATCATCACATTTGCATTTGTAGTGGGGATGAAAAATATGGTGACTTATTTGCAATGTTTTAAGCGAAGCGTTTCATTCTAATCTAACATTTTTCAAAGTACGAGTCAACCGAGGTGGGACCACCTCTAATATACTTTGACATACCCAGTATGTCCAGTTCTGGATACTACTTAAAACTACTACTTACTTAAAAATCATGAAATATATATTTTGTCCTTGCGGTGTGTCCCTCCTAGCCGATACTGTGGCCCCTCTGCATCATGCCTGAAGCTGGCGATGGGGCTGATTTTAGGCTCAGACTAAGGGGAAAGATAAAACCTCTTTTTGTGCTTCCAACCCTGTGTGGAACTGAATTTCCTATCAAGAAAGGAAAAAGTTTTTTTTTCAATTCTCCTTTTCCCCCGGACCAACTACCAGCCTCCCCCAAGGTGAAAAATATGAAAACCACAGAATTAATCTCAGATGCCCTAATCAAGTTTCAAACAAATAGTTTGTCATTTTGAATAAAATTGTGCCAACGATTGTAAAATCATGCTATATATTGATTGAATGATGAACTCAAATGTTTGTTTTTGATACACACAACTGCAGAACGGTGTGGGCAAATTGTCTCCATACTAGACCCACCTATTGGGCACTGGGCATGCTGTTATCAGAGGGCACGGAAACACACACGTGTAAAGTGTTTCCACATTACCAGAGAAATCTTTCAAGTGCATTTTTAATTGGCAGGTCAATCTGTAAGTGAGCCTAAATGAACTCAAGTATAAATATATAACAAGACAAGCACTTGAGCAGTTTTTTCTGTCGCTATCAACGTGACGTATTTTTATTATTACCTGGCGAGTGTAAAAATCAGTGGTGGAACCGTAATCAGGTTAAATTTTTGCAGGTACCGGACCGGTACACTTCAAGCTTCTGACCATGGAGACATGTTTAACTTTTTGCAGGTATGCCTGTCAACTGGAAACAGGTTTTTTTTTTGCAGGTACTGTGTTCATGTACGCTTCGATTGGATTGTGCATAAAATGCATATTTTCTTATTTGTCAAGTGATCGATGCTTTGCATCAATGTCAAAAAGGTTTATTCAAGTGTGCTCTCCGTGGCAGTGAATTTTGGCCTCAAGATGTCGTACCAGCTCTGGGCCACATTGTGCGCTGTCACGGTGCCCGTCGTCAGCCTTCTCCTCTGGATCCGGGTTAAGAGCTTGGAGTATCTTCGCCTGTATGTTCCTTCTCCCCTGGCCCGGCCCTGCCCTGTCCGTGGTCTACGACAGCACCACAGAAGCACAATGAATGTGTGAGAAATACAGAGACAGGTGACACGCGCTTATCCATTCTCCAAAGAACTCAGTGCCCGGGGTTCGTCATGCACTCTGCGCTCTCCGAAGAGAGTGGTGGGCGTGACAAACGCCCTACTTCTAGGGTAGCATCTCCTTGAATTAGGTCTGGCAGTGTCTGCAGGTTTCACGATCATTTGTTTCCTTCAGTCTTTAATTTAGTCCAATTCTGTAATTCAAAGGTACGAGAGTGGAAGGCTGATGGGGAAAAGCGTCCCATGTGCACAGCACGACCTGGATACCAAGCGGTCAGCCTACGGATTGGAAAATACAAGAAAACCCATCATAAAATTAATGTCAATCTGGGTAAGCTACTGAGAATAGAGGAAATAACGGTTGGTTTCCTCCCTTTCCCAGGTCATGCCTTCTGCTCCAGCCCCTCCTGACCCCTAGCCCCTCCTTCCTACCCCAGCCCCTCCTGACCCCTAGC